CCTTGGGTGGGAGTTGGCAGAGTTGCCCTGACTGAGACCTTTCTCAAAACCAAATATCACCAGCAGTGGATTACATGCAGAGGTCAGGCCCTCCAGTAAAACCCCCTTCAGTAAATCAGTCCCACAAACTCCCAGTTTGAGGGACTGATTGTTGTCATTTTCCTCACAAGCTATTATTTTCTCATAAAACGTGGTTTTATCTTTAACTTTGGTGAAGGCTGTTTAGTGCGATGTCACATTTGATGCCACATACTTCAGGGTTTAGGATACATAACCATAATTTCCACATTAAATTGCACTCATTATGCTAATTGTGAGTTACTGCCTCACTGAATCGGGCTACAGCAGGCACCACACAGGCGCGATAACTCGAAATGTGATTCCTATCGGCCTTTTGTGGAAACATTTTTGTGAGTCAAGAGCAGTGTTATAGATCCATTCAGTTGCTGCGTGTTTGCCTGCTTGTGCAACTATATTCATTCCTGAAGCACATTTCTACATCACTGAGGAGTGTTTGCTCTCCTCAAATGAGAATCTTGCATGCATGAGTGCATCTGTGTGTGTGTGTGTGCACGTGTATTTTTGTGTATTCAAAATCAGTTTTCTAATCATTGCATCAGTGTTCCTGAAATGCATTAAAAAAAACATCAGGTTGCCTTGAGTTTCTAGCTCGGCGACTTGCTCCTCTGCACAAATCTAAGTCAAATCTAAAGCGTCCTAAAACATCTTAATCCTGTTTTAAGATGGCTCAAGAATAATAGAGAGCATGCTCTGTAGTTTATCCTGAAGTTGTTTGTGACTGAGGGAGTTGGGAAGCATGGCGGTGTTATGTACAGTATGTGTGTTTGTGGGTGTAGAGTATAAACCTAGCAGAACCCAGATGACACTGCCGGGGCCGCTATTTTCCCACAGCACAATATAAATAGCCTGCTAGTGTGGGGTGACGGTGGGCAGGCAGGGGCGCTCGAGGGAGGATCCCATCCACACACAACCATACATTCCCATTCCACCTGGCCCTGCCAGAGCCCTATAGGTCACTTACAGGATGTGTTCACACACACACACACACACACACACACTCACACACACATACACACACACATCCCTTCTCCTCCTCCTCACACTTTTCCTTCATCACCTGTTTCCTCACCTCTATGCCAACTCCCCTTTTCTCCTCATGGGCTGAGGTCTCTGCCCACATCACGCTTGGTCACATCGGGCCCTCACACTCGCTGGCTCTCCACCTTTGACCACGGTGGAACGCCATGACGCACACACACACACACACACAGACATACACACATACACACACACACCATCTTGGTTTCTCACACGAACGTACTCACAAAATCTCTGCTTTCCTAAAGGAAGTTGACATCTGCAAAACGCTACTTTAGTGTAACATACACTACATGTCCAAAAGCTACACGTATCAATAACATGCTGCTGTTGGCTAAGTGATGGGGGTTCACAAAGTGATTCATCAGCTCGACAATGAATCAAATAATTACACAGCCTCGGGTTAATCATGAACTCTACGGTGAATCCGTTTTTTGAAGGATTACATGCAGTGATTACACTCTGAAATGTTTTATGTATGGCTATTCTGCAGCAAATGATTAAAAAACTTAGGCCAGTGAAAAAAAACAACTTACTTCCCACCAAGTAAATGATTACAGTGATTTAGTGCCGATGTGTGTTCTTTATAAAGTGTGCACATTATCTACCCACGATGTTGACATTCGACTCGTATAACCTCAAGTTCACACAGGAAAAATGATTTGCTGTGTTTCAATATTTGGCAACCCTTAAATCAGCTCTGTATCTCTCTGTAAATTACACACCATGTGGCTTCTCATCTTGATTACGCGGCTCCAGTGGCCGAACCTTCGCCATTTGACGCTTGTCTCAAGGAGATCTGAAACTCAACTGAAGCGATGTACTCTTAAATACTACTTGTTATTGTGGCCACGGCCGCAGAGAAGAACACCGCCTTCTGCCCCAGAGGATTTAGTTCAAACATTTTAGCCTATTGCACATGTCACACAAATGTAAAAGCTGTGCGCTGCTTTTTTTTTTCTTACAACAGAGAAAGGAGGTGTTAATCAACGCTAAATATACCCTTTAGCTTCCTGTTCCCCAGATCTGCTTACCCAGTAAAGACGATATCAGACAGCCGATGCTTCTGTCTGGCGAGGGCACGGGGGGGAAATAAAAACTTCACACCCAATGCTCGACGTTCATGAATGCTCTTCTCAGCAAAGCCAGCGCAAAATGCCTGCTGGTCAACACTTGTGTTAACTAAACCTGATCTCAGTGTAGCATACATAGCTGCTTTCAAAGGTTTGCAAAATGCTCTGGTGCAAAAAAAAGCTTTATATTGAGTAATAAGTGACTCTGAAGCGCATAGAAGCATCCAGAACCAAGAACCAGACCTGCCTCGGTTATGTTTATGCTGGCAAATTAGTTGTCACAGCTGGGAAAAGTGAATCAGTCCCTGCCGCTACTAATTATAGAAAGGCATCGTATATACACTTCATGCTGCCGCTCCTGCCTGCCATCTCAGAACGTAAAGGCCGGTTGACTTCTCCTTGAATTACAGGCCCTGATTTGGTTTCCCATGGCTATCAAGTTGGGGGAAGATGGCGTGTTTATGGTTAAGGAGAGTGCACAAGCACACACACATACACACACACACACACACACACACACACACACACACACACACACACTCTCATGCCCTCTCTAGTGTAATCAGTCATTACTATCTGCCCTTTACATCCACGCCGTGAACGCTATGTTCTGCAGTATAAATCTGCAGGCTTGACAGCTGGAGTCACCCTGACTGATGAACTCCGAATCAGTGTGAAGAGCTCCAACGTCGATGAAAGCAGCTCTCTAACCGGCGTGGCGGAGGCCGGCAGCTCAGATCCAGGCCAAGTTTTAACACTTCTCTGTGAAGCAAAACCTGAAATAACAAAAAAATAAACAAACAACTAATGCTCATGAAGCGGATGCAAAATGTGCTGTATTAAAGCTGAAGTTCTGATAAAGCACCCTTTGATTCCCTTTGATTCCTGACAGTATTCACTGCTGACACATTTTTTATGTGTTTTGTAAATGTTTTCAATACAAACAAAACTGTAATTCTGTAATCTGCTTTTATTACCTGACACACTCGAAGTGTTTTTCTTTTTCTCTGACAAGAGATTGAAGTTGAGGCTGTTGATGTATTTATTACAAAGGTGGTTCAAAGGGATTTACAGCACCAGTGAGACTGAGCCTTCCCAACACTTTGTTTGTTTTTTCCTCTTTGAAACTGTGTCAGGCCTCTGTGGTGGACGCCTTTTATCAGCGCAATGGCAAGGAGGAACTAATCAGCGTTTTCTGCTCACGAGGTAGATCCACACCCTTCTTCCCCCAAACTATAGAGGCCCACATCTGGAGTGACATCATTACGAAAACAGTGCTGCAGACAAAAAAAAGTGATCCTCTGATGTGATTTATATAACGTTATCAGAGGGCTCACATGACCGACGGCTTTACCGTGAAATAAGAGAAGTATCAAAGTGTATTATTCTGAATTTAATTTAGGACGAAAAACACGACTCAGAAGGCGACGCATTTGTGGCAGTGGATTTAAATGTTTTAGTGAAAGATAAGAAGAATAAGCAAGCGCGACACGTGGTTTATCCACAGAAAACAGCATCTGACCAAATGCCTGAACAACGTTTGTTGTGGTGCCAGCACCTGACACCCAACCACGCATTGGAGAGCAAGAGCTTGACATTGGCCACAGCAACAAAAGCATTGTCAGTCCGGACCCCTGAGGAGATCAATTTGCTCCCCTCCGGTTCCAGGCCTTTCAGCAGGGTTGAATAGGGGACAGAGGGCCGGTCTCAGCGGCAGGAGGCTCTGCAATGTTTCGCCAACAGGGTGTAAAGACAAACAAATCACTGGGATGAGACGTGGCCTTGTTATTGTGATGAGCCAGTGATTTACACCTGGATCATTCAGGCTGATAAGGGATAATTAGTTTGGGATTACCGTGGTCACTAACAGTTTAGAAAGCCAGTGTGAGTGTATGGCTTTTGCATGAGTGAGGGAGTTTAAAGGGCAGCGCTGAGCTTCACTCGTGTTTTAGATTTTGGTACTAAAGTCGAACCTTGCTCTCCAGAAATGATGTGATTAAAAAACTTCTGCTCCTGGTGAACAAGGACAATGTTTCATTATAGGCTACTGAACACCTAACCTGTATGATAACTGGGGCTGCAACTGTTTTCATTCATCAGATGATTATTCCCCCTGCTAATCAAGAAAATATATCTGGAGTTATGGTAATGTTTCTATTTTTGAAAAAAGAATCTATATAGATTATTGTTGTATTGTCTATTTGTATTTTATTATTTAACATTCTTCTTACACTTCCTCAAGCTGTATATAATGTTATTATAGTATTAAAGATCTCCCCACCAAATGATCCGACAACATTTAACTTGTTGACTGGAACTATATCTGCACCTGAGTAAATGCTGACTAACCTGAAACCTGCAGGTAAACGGCAAACATGATCATTCCTTTGATGGCATGAGTCACAGTACCAAAATCACGGTGTGTGGATCCTCAAGCACATCTTATGGAATTAATTGAAGTTCACTGGAAGTCGTTGTTTACCCACCTTTTGTTTCTGTTTCTGCAAAGTCTGTCACAGTCCAGATTCTCATAACCTGTTTTAGGTGAAAGCGCTGCAGAAATGAACCCTGGCACTAACAGTTGTGATAACGAAAAAAGAAATTAAGAGTGGGTGTTCAAAGACATGTCGCGGAAAAAACGTGCAGTTCATGGGAGGAAAAAATAAGAATAAGAAAAAAAAAATCATTGAATGGGTTAATTTTGAGTCATACCAGGCTCCGAGAAGTAGAAAAATTAGAAGAAAAAAAAATTCCTCCGCGGCGGCGACACAGTGAAAGCATACTTCAACTTCTGTTGTGTTTTTTTATGTCGTGTCCATGATAAAAATGAAGGATAATATCGAGTAATGGGAATTTGCTAAAGCGGTGACAAAACTCTCTTATTTAGACACAAGCGTCTACGTTTTCACCATCTTTTAAGCCCGTCGATAGATCCCCTTCTGACTTCAGCGGAAGGATATGTGTTTTCGTTTCTTCACTCTCAGTGACTCCAGTGACTGGTGAGCGCAGAGAGGTGGAAGACTTTTTTTTTTTGGGTGCCGTGTGTGTGACTACTACAAGTTTAATTTGTGTATTTTAAACCTTTTTTTCTTAACGTAACGACTCGTAGAATACATGTGATGAATACTAACATGTTGTAATTTTGGCGCTACGAGTCGTTTTTTGCCTCATCTTAATTGTGTGAGAGCTCGTTTCCAACGAGACTTTTTTGGAGAACTATAACCGTCCCGCGGGAGACAGCTCAACTTTGGGCTCGCGACCTTATGTGGATTTTAAAGACAATATGGAGCAGATCCCCGGTTTCTCCTCGGGCAAATCACTAGTCTTTGTCTTCTGCTTCATTCGCCTCTCTTTGGGTAAGTTGTTGATGATGATAAAAGCTGTGATAATACTTCATAACTTGTCATGATCACGTTTTTTGTTGCCTCTTCATCTCTACGCACACACACACACACACACACACACACACACACACACTGCGTCCACGCTGGTGTCTGATTTAGCTACTTTGTTGCTCTTACTTTGAAAATATAAAGTTACTTTTGGGAAAAGCTGCTCCTGAAAGTAACGAAAGGTGGACGGCTTACGTATAGAAAGTATTTCACCAGTATTTTGTTGTGCGTGTTTTCACATAGTTTATACGGCGGTAATTGGCAGTACATCTCCATACGTCTCCCTGTGTCACACTTCAAAGGGTTAAAGTCTGGTTATAATGCTGTGACTCGCGACTGAGTGTTCAGTCTGAGTCACACCGCTGCCCAGATGTTGAACAACGAAGAGAGAAATCATTCAAAATGGACACTTAACCATGTTTAGACTGCCCTGCTGAATTAACAGAGCTTGACAGTGATGAAGGAGAGGACACGAGCTGATTTTTTAGGGCAAATATCCGCTGTTGTCATTATGTTTGAGTCGGTGTGATTAGGTCACGAGGCGAGGAAGGGATGTGTGTGGAGAAGTTGGGAAACTAGATGCACTTGGAAATGATATTAATCTCTCAATGCCAGCAATGTCTCTATGTATTTAACATAGCATATAAAGGGATAACTGTCTTTCTAGTGCAGTCTTTAATTAAGCACTCATTAGTTTCCATTGATAGCAGGTCCTCAAGTACTCAGGCCTTGGGTCAGTTCACTGTGGATGAGGAATGACTCAAATGAATGAAAGATTGACATTGCGGAAAACAAATATATGGTATAATATATAAAAGCACACATAAAAAGAAAACACAGCGACTCACAGTGTGCATGTTTGTTTTCTCCATAACTCACAGTGAAATGCATTTTATTCTGAAATTATTGTAAAGCTGTGCTTCCAATACAAAGGTGCATAAACATTGTAAGATGTTTCTGATTAAGATAAAATAACACGTATGCTTTATTTGGAGTGTGCCTTACTAATTTTGATCTTTTTCATGACTTTATGTTTCTCATCATTGCCAATAATATACAGTGATGCTTTTTACAACCGGTGTGAATTTCTGAGTTTGCTCTGAGAAATGTGCGATAAGACTTTAGCCTTTTAAGCCTTTATGTAAGGGTGCCGAGGCAGGGAAACTGATTTCATCTCCCATGTTTTTCTTTTTTAGCTCAGAGTTGATACTTGCAGCCTTGCTATTCTTTCTCACGTTTTTTAAAAAAAAATTTTCACGGACTATCGGTGACTTGTGAACAAAGTTACACAAAAGAAGAAAATACAATGAAAAAGTGCTGCAGGCAGTGCAAGGAGAGGCAGTGGAATGTTGTTGGTGTTTGACATTCCTCCCTCCCTCTCTGTTCAGCCTCTCTCTCACACACACACACACACACACACACACGCGCGCGCGCGCGCACTTTGTGCACCATGATGTTCTTTCCCATTCCCTCTCCATCTTCATCAATCCTTTGTTCCGCTAATGCTTGGTTTATGGATGCCGTTGTGACGCCGGCGCGAGGTGAGCCAGAAAATGACGTCATAACGACCTTCGTGTTGAGCGCGAAGGCTAACCGAGTTGTTGCGTCGCTTTGATGTGCACCTCGACTAGGTGCCCGCTGCAGGCACTGGGCCTTTCAGAAATAGTTTAATGATTAAAGCATTGCTAACATGTCGACTAATTGTTTTTTAAACGCTTTAGAAACAGGAAGTCTTAAACATCTACGTTTGAGTAAATATTTTGCAAGCCAAATCAATTTAGTTTTTTACAGGACATTCGACCTTCCAACCTTTGTTTCATTTTAATGCTTGACTTCTTTCTATAAAGGGATTATGTACAGGTGATAATGTATAACCATGAATATGAGATACGAGTCAACAGTTATTCACAACTCCCTCCTTGTTTAGTTTATGACGTTTTGCCGGTAACATTAGTTGACTCCTTGCTTCTTCACAGTGTATTGTCTTCGCACAGTCAATGGCGTCGTGGAGAATACTGCGACGACCAGCTCGTAAACGCCATTTTTTGCGCGCTATCTGCGGAGGCCCGGCACCACGGTGCCTCGCGTGACTGTAAACAACTCTTCAAGCTGAACATCCAAATAGTTGGAACACTGCTCCGTATGAGCAACTGTGATCACAGCTTGTGGTGCGTGCGAGGCGCTAGTGGTTTATTATGACAGAATGGCATGGAATAACGTGTTGTTTACCTTGATGACATGAAGGTGGTTTGAGGTTTACCCGTTCTGCAATAAACGCCAGTAGCCTGCAGCTTTTTATTCCACCAGTTCACTGTTATTTTTTTGTTTCACCATTTCTGGTTTTCAATATTGAAAATTAGTCACCAACAAAACCATTGTGTCAAGAGTTGGGCTAACCGCTGTGACAAATACAGCTGCACTTCCTCTCGTTTTTTCACAATAAAAGCCGACCAGTTGTTACATTTCTTGCTACTCAGGATCAGCTAAAGCATGTTAAAAAAAGAACAGATGCTCATTTGCTGTTCAATCATAATTCTGGGCCTGTAGAGGCCAATGGAGCCCCTCTGTGGTGATGCAGAGAGACGGTTGATAATACTGTGCTACAGTGTTGTAGTGGACCGTACATCTGATCTTGAGGAAGCGTAGGTGCCATCTTGGTGGCGCACGACATAGCGTTGCCCCTGTGGCGTGGGCATGCGGGATCGTTGCCCATATTTGCCCGGTGCAAACAGCAGACAGCTGACACGAGTGTGCGTATCTATTTGCGTGCGTGTGTGTGTGTGTGTGTGTGTGTGTGTATGTGCTGCATATGAACCGACAAAGGCCATCAATTGTCCCGCCCATGGTTTACTTGCGTCGGTCCCGAGCTGGAGCCTGGTGTGAAATGTGATTTATCTTTGCCATGCTTCGCCCTCTGCTTCGCCGTGTGCTACGAAGACAAAGATATTTATTGAGTGGCCCACAGTGCCGCGTTATTTACTGACCACCAGCTCTTCCCACTGCCTTGCGGCTGTTTTATTAATCTGGTTTAGGACGTCTTCTCCGTGACACCCTCTTAAGCTTTCCCGGTGGCTTCGTTCTCATCCCTTAGCAACTACGAGCATTTTTGCTGTAAGCTTCTGTGCTCACGTTTCAGGTTATAGTCAGTTCCGTCTTCTCCACCCTTTTGATTAGTAGTGTAGTTAAAAAAAGCCAGGCCTCCACATGTGTTTCGGTCCCGTACTTGTTGGTTGCAGTGGGAGTAAGTAGTAAATAATGTGTCGAACTGAATGAGTCAGTGCATGAACGTCTGTGGTGCTGTCCTCCAGATGCATGCGTGTCTGTATTTCTATACATGGCTCAGAATAGACTTCAACTTCAAGACCGACTGCTTACGGTCTTGAAGTTGAAATGCACATCAGTCAAGTTGGAAGTCACAGTCAGTGGCCTGTGTCACCATTTTGGTTCGCAGTGCTAATACGGCGGCAGCGCCTGCTTGACCAGTTTTGCTCTTACTGGCTTTGATCCTCCCGCATTAAATAAATACCGCTCGAAATGTGAATGAAGTTAGGTGCACGAACCAGCGGCACTGTTTCTATAGGAGGTGGTGTTTGTGACTGTGAAGGTCGAGGGGATTACAGAGCGTTGTGTCTGCACTGTTGAACAGGTTAGCAAATTAACAGGGAATTACTGCGGCCCGCATTCCTCGGCCAACGCAGCCCCGTAATCCTGGAGACAGGCAGGCAGGCAGGGCGAAGCGAGCAGGGCACATCAGCTAGGAGACGGAAATACTTTGTAAAGGCTGGCAGTGTTAGTTTAGTCCTCTGTAGGAACCAGTTCATATCAGAAGAAAGAAACGCGAGGGGAGACGTGAGAGAAGACTTTATGTTTGGTAAACCACTAGTTAACCAACCTTGTATCTCTATATGAGAAAATAATTCTCATATTGAGATATAGTTTTCCCCCGCTGACATTATACTGTCATGGATACTGGTGGTTCAATTCTGATACCTAAATGAATTCTAACATAATATTTTACCGGAATCTGGCAGCCTGAGATCTGAAATACACGTTGACTTCATAGCATGAAGAGGAGTTTGACTTTGTACTATGTGCTTCTGAATTCATAATAACACAACGATGTAAAACAATGTGATGTAACTGAACACGTCTGCACAATAAGCCTGAGTATTTTCGTTATTAAAAAAAAAAGTTTTTGACTGAGCAAAGGGAAAGTCCCTACATTGGCCTTGTCTGGTCTGCTCTCCCTGTTTCTGTCTGTCTGTCTCTTTCTACACACACACACACACACACACACACTGAGCCAGCAGGCCCGCACTTTTAGATGAGACTCTCCCAACTTTTCCCAGTGATTACAACAGCAAGGCGACCGTCTCGTCTCATTTGAGAGGTTGGGAGGGTAATTACTGGGGCTGTCCCAGTGAGGATTTTTTGCCCTCCGACTTAATTTCACTTTCATCAACTGAGACTATACCGGCTCAGCTTTGTATCTATTAAGCTTTGCCTGTGGTTCACTTTTGAATTTCTGTTTCTAAAAGGAGAATAGCTGGTCCAACTTAAAGGTCAGTCCACCTAAAGTGAGCCTGGGCTGAAGTTTTTTTGCTGACTTTCGGGGGCTAACCCGCTTCACTTTAATCAGCAGGTGGCAAGCAAGACATGCAAATATGGCTTGAGTCTTGAGGAGTTGTAGCATTTAAACCCAGACAAAAAGCCTAAACCGGTCATGGTATTGTCTTCTATCAAAACACGTTTGCTGAGATTTCTGGCAGACAGGGCTCTCTGGAAACCGTCTCCCACATTCCACACACAACCTGCGCACTGAGTAGTTATTCCCCAAGGGAGTTTTCTACTTGTAACACCTTTTAGTTTAAAAATCACCCTACCCTAAAATTACCCTGCTTTTGACAGCTGATTTACCCAGATTGCAGTGGGTTACATTGAACAAAGAATCGGAAATGGATCAG